GAGGTTGCAGTGAGCTGCGATCTCACCACTGCACTCCAACCTGGATAACAGAGTGAGACTCTTGTCTCAAAATATATGTGTGTGTGTGTGTGTGTGTGTGTGTGTGTATAAAATTTCCAATTTTAACATAATTTTTCTTTGAGAAGGAGTCTCACTCTGTTTCCCAGGCTGGAGTGCGGTGGCATGATCTCAGCTCTCTGCAACCTCTGCCTCCTGTGTTCAAGTGATTCTCCTGCCTCAGCCTCGTGACTAGCTGGGACTACAGGTGCCCACCACCATGCCCAGCTAATTTTTGTATTTTTTTTTAGTAGAGACGGGGGTTTCACTATATTAGCCAGGCTGGTCTTGAACTCCTGACCTTGTGTTCTGCACCCGCCTCAGCCTCCCAAAGTGTTGGGATTACAGGCATGAGCCACCTCGCCTGGCTTACATAAGTTTTTTTTAGAGTCGGTGGTCAGAATCTCACTATGTTGCCCAGGCTGGAGTGCAGTGGCTATTTAAGGCACAATTAAAGCACATTACAACCGCAAAAATCCTAGTCTTAAGTGAGACTCATGAAATCTTCCTGCTGGAGTAGCTGATATTACAGTCTGGCACCATCATGCCTGTCCCATTTTAGCAATTTTTTTTTTTTGAGATGGGATTTCACCATGTTGGTCAGGCTGGCCTCAAACTCCTGACCAGGCGATCCACCCGTCTCAGCCTCCCAAAGTGCTGGAATTACAAGCATGAGCCACCATGCCCAGCCAGCAATTTATAAGTGTACAATTCAGTAGTAATATTAAGTACATTTGTATTGTGCAAGCATCACTATTAGCTATCTCCAGAACTTTTTCATTATCCCAAACTTAAACTCTGTATCCATTAAACAATAGCTATCTGCTGGGTATTGTGGCTCACGCCTGTAATCCCAGCACTTTGGAAGGCAAGGTTGGCAGATCACCTGAGGTCAGGAGTTTGAGACCAGCCTGTCCAAGATGGTGAAACCTCATCTCTAGTGAAAAATACAAAAATTAGGCCGGGCATGGTGACTCACCCCTGTAATCCCAGCACTTTGGGAGGCTGAGGTGGGCGGATCATGAGGTCAGGAGATTGAGACCATCCTGGCCAACATGGTGAAACCCCGTCTGTACTAAAAATACAAAAATTAGTTGGGCTTGGTGATGCATGCCTGTAGTCCCAGCTACTCAGGAGGCTGAGGCAGGAGAATTGCTTGAACCCGAGAGGTGGAGATTGCAGTGAGCCGAGATCATGCTATGGCACTCCAGCCTGGGTGACAAAGCGAGATTCCGTCTCAAACAACAACTAACTCTCTATTACCTCCTTCCTTCTAGCCTCTGGTAATCATTATTCTACTTTTTGTCTATGAATTTGACTCTAGGCACCTCATATAAGTGGAATCACACAATATTTATCCTTTCATTTCTGGCTCATTTCACATAGTGTAATGTTTTCAAGGTTCATTTATGTTGTACATGTGTCAGGATTTATTTTTTAAAGCTGAATAACATTTCATTGTATATATACACCACATTTGGGTTATTCATTTGTCCATTGATAGGGCTGTTTCCACTTTTTTTTCTTCTTTCTTTCTTTTTTTTTTAGAGATGGGGTTTCACCATGTTGGCCAGGATGGTCTCGATCTCGTGACCTCCTGATCTACCCGCCTCGACCTTCCAAAATGCTGGGATTACAGGTGTGAGCCACCGTGCCTGGCCTTCCACTTTTTAGCTATTGTGAATAATGCTACTATGAACATGGGCATACAAATATCTGTTTGAGTCTCTGCTTTCAGTTCTTTGGGATACATACATAGAGAATTGCTGGATCACGTGGTCATTCTATGTTTTATTTTTTGAGGAACTGCCACAGTGCTTTTCTTTGAAGGGGAAGATAAAGTCTCAATATTTTGCCCGGGCTGGGCTTTGAACTCTTGATCCTCCCACCTCAGCCACATAAGTAGCTAGGACCACAGCAACATGCCACCATACTCGCATATTTTACATTTTCTTTTTTAAAAAATTTATTTTTTAATTGAGGTGGAGCTTCCCTATGTTGCCCAGGCTGGTCTTGAACTCCTGAGCTCAAGGGATCTGCCTGCCTCAGCCTCCCAAAGTGCTGGGATTACAGGTGTGAGCCACCTTGCCTGGTGAGTATTTTATGTTTTCAATCCATTGCAGTCATCATTGTTTTCAGTGCTCGTGTTGTATCATTAGTGAGAGCCCCTTCATGTTGGCTCCTGTATCCTTCTGATATGACTGTAATAGTCTGATATCTTCCTTTCTTTCTGGAATGACAAAATATTTGAGGCAGAACTTGTATATTTCCTGCATCAAGCTTGAAACCACTAATTTCTCTAAAATATTCCGGTTCCTTTAAGTGGGAACTGGCATAGAGACACCACTATCTGGGGGCTAGGGAGTATTCATTACTACATTGGTCCTAGGCCTTTTTAGTGGACAAAGTTAGAAAATCTGTTTTTTTTTCCCATTTTTTTCCTAGAATCAAAGGATCATAGGCCTTCTATTTAACTTATTTGGTTGTATACCTGTATCTCTTTTATCCTACATTTGGCTCATGTAACCAACAATCACTGTACACCCACCATATTCCTTATACTTTGCTAGGTGCTGGGAATGCACATCAAAATTTACATTTCATCTAGTTTCCATATTGTTTTTTATGTGAATTAGTGAGGCTTTTTACTTTTTGTGTTGGCTTGTAGTTAAAGCCGACGAGCATAATATTGGATTGGCTTGGCTTTGAGGTTAGTTTATCTTGATGTATTTCTTTTTTTTTCTTTTTCTTTTTTTTTTTTTGAGACAGAGTCTCACTCTATTGCCCAAGCTGGAGTGCAGTGGCAAAATCTCAGCTCACTGCAACCTCCACCTCCCAGGCTCAAGCAATTCTCCCCGCTTCAACCTCTTGAGTAGCTGGAAGTACAGGTGTCCGCCATCACGCCTAGCTAATTTTGTATTTTTTAGAGATGGGATTTCGCCATGTTGGCCAGGCTGGTCTCAAACTCCTGACCTCAAGTGATCTGCCCACCTCGACCTACCAAAGTGCTGGGATTACAGGTGTGAGCCACAGTGCCAGGCCCATCTTGATGTATTTCTTTTTCTTTCCTTTTTTTTTTGAGATGGAGTCTCAGCCTATCGCCAGGCTGGAGTGCAGTGGCACAATCTCGGCTCACTGCAACCTCCGCCACCTCCCAGGTTCAAGCAATTCTCCTGTCTCAGCCTCCTGAGTAGCTGGGACTACAGGTGCCTGCCACTACGCCCCGCTAATTTTTTTTGTATTTTAGTAGAGATGGAGTTTCACCATGTTGGCCAGGATGGTCTCAATCTGCTGACCTCGTGAGCAGCCTGCCTCAGTTTCCCAAAGTGTTGGGATTACAGGCGTGAGCCACGGCGCCTGGCCCCAATGTATTTCTTATATAACATTGTTTCCATTAACTTACATGAACCACAGATTTCAGTAATTACAATACTATTATACCCCAAAGTTGCCAGTGTCAAGGGAAAAACAGATTAAATAGGTCATTAATACCAAAAAAGGCCTTTCATTGCCATTGGGTATTACCCTGATATGTTTAGCGGTGTCCCCACTCAAATCTCATCTTGATTTGTAGTTCCCATAGTCCCCACGTGTGGTAAGAGGAACCCAGTGGGAGGCAATTGAATCATGGGGGCAGTTTCCACCAAGTTATCTTCATGATAGTAAATTCTTATAGATCTGATGGTTTCATAAGGTACTTTCTACTTGGCTTAGCGCTTATTCTCTCTTCTGCCACCATGTGAAGGATATTTGCTTCCCTTTCCGCCATGATTGTAAGGTTCCTGAGGCCTCCCCAGCCATGTGGACTGTGAGTCAAACTTCTTTCCATTATGAATTACCCAGTCTCGGTTACTTCTTCATAGCACTGAACTAATATGTATCCCAGAACCAGAAAATGTGAGAGTAGGAAGACAATTTACTGTGCTTGGGAACAGACTTTTGGTCAGTTGGACTGGGGCACAACTCTATTGTTGGACAAATCCTAATTCTAAAACATTTTCTGTGTTGGTGCTGATGCATACAATTGCACTATTAGGGTTTCCTCTGAAGTTATCGGCCCATATTAACTTGGAGAGTTAACATTCAGGTATGTAATTAACACATTAAAGTGAATAATGTACTAGGCTTTTCCAACATGACATTTAGCTTAAAATAGATTTGGGAAGAAGGTAAAGAACTAACTCTAGCATAAGGCCACTTGCATGGAGAGCAGATTTATTTTCGGAATCCTGGGCAAAGGAAGCATAATGGCATTAGACACATGCCAAGGAGCTGAAGGTACATGAAAAGGTGATGCATTTGCAACCTTCACCATTTTATGTTAGTTACATGAGATTCAGCAGCCAACCAGATTCTGGCTGTGCATTACCAACTTTCAACTCTAAAAAGTACTGGCAAGTTAAGTAACTTTATAATAATAATGAGGTTAAAACTTTAAGAATAGTATTAAAGAGGCAAGGTGGCTCATGCCTATTGTCCCAGCACTTTGGGAGGCTGAGGCCAGCAGATCACGGGAAGTCAAGAGTTTGACACCAGCCCAGCCAACATGGTGAAATCTCATCTCTACTAAAAATACACAAATTAGTCAGGTGGCGGGTAGCTGTAATCCCAACTACTCCAGAGGCTGAAGCAGGAGAATCTCTTGAACCCAGGAGGCCGAGGTGGCAGTAAGCCAAGATGGCGCCACAGCACTCCAGCCTGGGCAACAAAGCAAGACACCATCTCACACACACAAAAAAAAGGTATGTGATGCTCTATAATGGTAATCTTTAGATATGTATTTTATATTTTATAAATAAAAGTTTTAAATTACTAAGATACTTTAAAATAGAAACATCACTTCATAGGATATATATAAACCACAGGCAATACTTATTCTTTATTCTCAATGCACGGAATACATGACAAATTTCAGACACCCAGATAGAAAACACAGGACTGAATTCATTTAAGACAGGGAATACTTTATTCGAAACCCATCACAGAAATGGACAGCTTGGGTCTGTAACAAAGCATTCATGTTTTAGAGCATAGGTCAGTAATTGTATATAAGAGCATACACTGCTACATACAAATTAACTGATCAGACCACAACTTTTCATGTTTAAAACAGAATAAGCTTCCCTGTAAAAGCAGCACCTTTGTGACATTTTAATTTTAGTATTCCTCACCTTCTTCCTCGCCTTCTCCTTCAACAGAATCCACACCAACCTCCTCATAATCCTTCTCAAGGGCAGCCATATCCTCACGGGCCTCTGAAAACTCTCCTTCCTCCATCCCCTCACCCACGTACCAGTGAACAAAGGCACGCTTGGCATACATCAGGTCAAACTTGTGGTCCAGGCGAGCCCAGGCCTCAGCAATGGCTGTGGTGTTGCTCAGCATGCACACAGCTCTCTGTACCTTGGCCAGGTCTCCACCAGGCACCACAGTGGGAGGCTGGTAGTTGATGCCAACCTTGAAGCCAGTGGGGCACCAATCCACAAACTGGATGGTACGCTTGGTCTTGATGGTGGCGATGGCAGCATTGACATCTTTGGGAACCACGTCACCACGGTACAACAGGCAGCAAGCCATGTATTTACCATGGCGAGGGTCACATTTCACCATCTGGTTGGCTGGCTCAAAGCAAGCATTGGTGATCTCTGCTACAGAAAGCTGTTCATGGTAGGCTTTCTCAGCAGAGATGACAGGGGCATATGTGGCCAGAGGGAAGTGGATGCGAGGATAGGGCACCAGGTTGGTCTGGAATTCTGTCAGGTCAACATTCAGGGCTCCATCAAATCTCAGGGAAGCAGTGATGGAGGACACAATTTGACCTATTAATCTATTCAGGTTAGTGTAGGTTGGGCGCTCAATATCGAGGTTTCTACGACAGATGTCATAGATGGCCTCATTGTCTACCATGAAGGCACAATCAGAGTGCTCCAGGGTGGTGTGGGTGGTGAGGATGGAGTTGTAGGGCTCAACTACAGCCGTGGAAACCTGGGGCGCCGGGTAGATGGAGAACTCCAGCTTGGACTTCTTGCCATAATCAACTGAGAGCCGTTCCATGAGCAGGGAGGTGAACCCAGAACCAGTTCCCCCACCAAAGCTGTGGAAAACCAAGAAGCCCTGGAGACCGGTGCACTGGTCAGCCTATTACAAAAGAGAGGAACAGAGAAAGATTAAGTTTTTGTTCTTTGTAGTACAGTCATAGTAAATATATTTTCATTTTTCACATATCTCCCAGGACTTAAATCTTATTTTAACAAATGCTTTTTAGAAAATTCTCATTAATATTTACAAGATGACACAAAATAGTTCATTTTAACTGAATTTTTAAAACCCCAAAGGAATAACTCATTCCCCTCTTTACTAAAATAACAGTTCAATTCTGTGTTTAAAAAAAAAAAAGCAGCATTATGGCCGGGCGGGGTGGCTCAAGCCTGTAATCCCAGCACTTTGTGAGGCCGAGGCGGGTAGATCACGAGGTCAAGAGATCAAGACCATCCTGGTCAACATGGTGAAACCCCGTCTCTACTAAAAATACAAAAAATTATCTGGGCACGGTGGCGCGTGCCTATAATCCCAGCTACTCAGGAGGCTGAGGCAGGAGAATTGCCTGAACCCAGGAGGCGGAGATTGCGGTGAGCCGAGATCACACCATTGCACTCCAGCTTGGGTAACAAGAGCAAAACTCTGTCTCAAAAAAAAAAAAAAAACCAGCATTATTTCAAATGTCCTTTTAAGGCAGATTAATTTACTTTATTCTTGAAAAGAAACATACCAGTTTACGAATTCGGTCCAACACAAGGTCAATGATCTCCTTGCCGATGGTGTAGTGCCCTCGGGCATAGTTATTGGCAGCATCTTCCTTGCCTGTGATGAGCTGTTCAGGGTGGAAGAGCTGGCGGTAGGTGCCAGTGCGAACTTCATCTGGAGGAGGAGGGAGAGAAGGACAGAGGGACTGGGCAAGTGAGCGAGTGACCAGCAGATCCCCCAGGACAGACCTCCTGTCCCAGCACCCTGGGATCTCACTTGGGTTACTGAGGCCAACTCACCAATGACCGTGGGTTCCAGGTCTACAAACACTGCCCGGGGCACGTGCTTGCCAGCACCTGTCTCACTGAAGAAGGTGTTGAAGGAGTCATCTCCTCCCCCAATGGTCTTGTCACTTGGCATCTGGCCATCGGGCTGGATGCCATGTTCCAGGCAGTAGAGCTCCCAGCAGGCATTGCCAATCTGGACACCAGCCTGGCCAACATGGATGGAGATGCACTCACGCTGTAGGAAGGAAAAGTGAAAAAAATTTTATAATTAAGCTGTATTAGCATTTCAAACTTTGAGTACATTTCTAAAAATATTTCTAATAACATACAGGTATTTTTCAAAATTATTTGAGGTCATATCCCCAGCATGCTACAAAGATTAAGGAAAATTATCTGCTACAAATGCTGCTTATGGTGTGGTCTGAATAACAATGTCGCCTTGGCCCTGTTCAGCACATGGTACCAGCCCATTGTTCTTACTACCTTGCTTGAATAGTAGAAGACTTTTCATATTTAAAAAGTATTCCGCATTCGAAGCACAAATTTTGTAAAATAAAGTAAATCCAATCATGACTTAATTGGGATTAATTGTACTGCTTTGTTTGCTTTTAAATAAAGATTAAAGTTTCTTCTGAATAGGACTTGATATTGTAACAGGGACATCTGTACTGCCGCTGAGGCAAGAAGCCACACCCTTCCGCAGTCTGTCTGCAGAATCCATCAATACCAAGGGTTTAGAAGCTAGACAAGGTCTGCCTTCTGCATTGCTGCATTGCTGTATTTGCAGTGCCTGGTGCTAGCCTGTACTGTCTGCTACATTATTTAACAGAGCAAGCTCTATTTCCAGCAACTGCCTACATGATCTCATTGTGCTGTTTTGCCAGTTTTCCTCCTCTGACCCAGCCCAGGACCATGTGCCTGAATTGAAATGAATTAATGAAGATTCACTAGAACAAAAGACAACGGGATACAGAATATAATCCTTCTTTGTCTATAGCAATTTCATCACTTTTCTTTTTTAAAAAAGGTTTTTCCAGATCTTCTCCATTGTAAAAGCTGAAAAATTATCTGTATCTTAAAAAAAAAAAATACAAAAAGGTTCCTAAGTTAGAAAGAAGCATCACATAAGCTACCAAACAAAGAATAAAAGCCCAGTGGAAGGATAATGAAATATTTATTTAAAAAAACAAAATAGTATTTTCATCTTGAGATTCTTCACCTACCACATAATATTAATATTCTTTGCATCCAATAGAGGTTTTCTTCCTCTGTGGTCTTTAGGGCTACCACTTCCATTGTCTATTCACTGACGTGGTGGGGGCTGGCGGCGGGGAAGGGCGTTTCCTAGATCCTGACTATCAGGGTAACCCGGGAGCTCACAAAGTGGGCTTTCTCTCTCGCTGAACATGCAGCCCAGACACCCAGACACCCAGACACACACACACACACACACACACACACACACACACGCTCTCTCTCTCGCTCTCTCTGTCTGTCTCCAGTCGGTCAGGGCAGACGTTGAAGAGCTTGTCAAGTGAATTGTGATTTTGCTCAAGAAAAAAAAAGTCATCTAACATATAATAGTGAAGAACCCTTTTGGAGCCTACAGTTTCGCAATAACGAAAGGCGTTTCTTAAAGTCTGCGACTGACAGAGGAGGTTCAGTGAGGGCGAACCCCGCCCCGTGGCTCCATCGCCCTAGAAGCCAGAAACAAACAACTCCGCCCCTGCGCCTCCCTGACACCCGCTGCCGGGGGCTCCGGCAGAAACTCACTGTATTTTCCCGGGAAAAAACGCCAACGACCGCGAGGGGTCTTCCCACGCTAACCCCAGGCTGCGCTTTGTTCCCGTCCCCGCTCCCGCATCCCCCAGCTCCACGGTCCCCGCTCTTTTTGGACACCTCCTCCTCTCGCGGTCCTCAGAGAACGACGCGAGACGGAAGAGGCCCCTCGGGGGCAACGAAACCGGGCGCACAGCCACGGGGCCCAGCCGGGACGCCCCAGACCCCTCGGTCGCGGCAGACAGGCTGGGCTGTCCTCAGCCCCGAAAGGCTCTCGGACGACACAGGCGCCCAGGCGCCGCCTTTGTCCCTCCCCAGCGCTTGGCTGAGCCCTGGGCGCAGTCCTTGCCTGGATCCTGCACCCCCACTGCGGCGGTGCGGCGGGGCTTGAGGACTTGGGGCAGACAAAGCTAAAGCACACGACGATCCTCGCCCAGACAGCTTACGAAAGAAAAGTGCTTAAAAGTTTTCCAAGTAGACCCTGGGGGCGCTGACTCCACCCAACCGCCACAAAGAGCGGAAGCCGATTCTCACCATGGTTGCTGCTTCGCGGCTGCCGAGCAGATGGCGGAGACGAGGAGAAGTTGTTGCTTCTTACAGCGCGACTCTTAGGCGGTCGATGTAAGAGAACCTGCGGCACATGGGCGGATGCGGCTCCCTATATACAACTCGGTCGCCATGGGGATGGGCTGGGGCCTTTTCCTGTTGGTCCAGACCCCCAATCTGCCCAGAGAAGTCATGACAGGAGACTGGTGATTGGTGCAAACGACGTGGGATGAGGTAATCTCTCCCCCACCCTTTTTTCTCTAGCATCCATAGACTGTTTGCATCCTTTAGACAAAGAGACCGTGCAGAAGCAGTCTGCCGAGCATCCATTATGGGGTGGGGTTGGGGAGGGGCGGAAGGAGAAGAAAGGGGACTGGGTTGGAAGACTTTATATTGCTTGAATCTCAAACTGCGGTTAAAATTATCTATATGAGGGTTTTTTTACCCTACACTTAATAACAGAATTTGTGTTCAGATGCAATATTTAGAGGAAAATTACTGCCAGCCCCTCCTCGTAGTATATTAGACTTGACTACATTTTGTTTTGTTAGGGTTCAGCGTCTCTAATTGCTTTAAAAATAAAGTGGGAGAGAAAATGGGCGTGATTGCTGAAAATGGCTTGGGTAAATGTGATTTTTTTTAATTTAAAAAATATTTATTAATACAATCATTCAAAATGTTTTCTCAGGTTCAACTAATTTATTTTCAGACCTTCTTTTGCAGGCACACGCACACCCAAATAGCTAAACAAAACTGGAAGATGGGCAGAATAACCATACTAAATAAAGAAGCGAACACATAGTTCTAATATGGCACTAAACAATAGCTAGTGAACGCAGAGTAGTTATAATAGTTTATTAGAGGTATTCCTTTATGAGAAGTCTATGTAACACATTTTGTGTGGTACATTGTCCTTGGAATGCATCATCTTTCCTGATATAGAATTGGGAAAATACAAGGAGAAATAATTGAGTTCACAAGTTAGTCCTACATGTGTGCAGTTATATTTATGCATTGTACTTTTGTCTGAAAAGTAGCAAACAAAATAATAATTACCAAGAAACCAAATTTAAAAGAAGAGAATAACATAATGTAAAAAGCAGACCATTTTGCTATGTTGCCTCCATCCACAGACAACGGTGAAACATCAGCTCAATAACTGCATTTCCTTTTTATGTAGTTCTTATGTCAATTTGGTAAATATCCTCCTGCAGGTGGATTCTAACTGTGGGAATTTTAGCCAGCCTCACACCCTTGCTATTCAACTAGAGACTCTGGTGGTTGCTCAGTTGCCTCTTGGGACAAAAAGGCTTTGCTTTCACCCATAGGAAATAAATTGTAGTAACACTCTCTTGCTATTTAGAAAGGCTTCATTCTCAGCAATGATGTGCTATGCAGAATAAGTCACTGGACTTCGTACCACCAGATATTGGTGATGAAATTTCAGAGGTAAATAAATAAGTTTGGCCACAGAAGCTGAAATTATATTTGTATTTTGACAAATAATTTTTCGTTTTGGTTTTTAGTGACAGATTTTTGGGGTCTGCAGCACTACTCCCACAGTACTCTGCGGAGACCATTCATTCCTGCTGGGCTGGCAGACTGAGCAGGGCGTGGGAGGGAGGGACTTGAGAATACAGCTGCTGCAGGTTGTGGTGTGACGATGGCGACCACAGATTTTTCTAGCCTGCCGTCCACAGTTCTGCTTTACTTGTTCAATTTTGCTGCAGTAATATTCTCTGGAAAAAATGTTCAAAATGCAACATCATTTTGTCTAATTATTGTATATTTTCCAGGAAAAAAAAATCCTCAACATCATCTTATCTCCATCTCTTTAGCAAAAAAAATATATATACATATGTATATTTATATATATATATGTATATATTTCAGTAAAGAGACAGGAGGATTAGATATTTGAATGCTTCAAGAATTCATTGGAGGCCGGGCGCGGTGGCTCAAGCCTGTAATCCCAGCACTTTGGGAGGCCGAGGCAGGTAGATCACGAGGTCAAGAGATCGAGACCATCCTGGTCAACATGGTGAAACCCCGTCTCTACTAAAAATACAAAAAATTAGCTGGGCATGGTGGCGCGTGCCTGTAATCCCAGCTACTCAGGAGGCTGAGGCAGGAGAATTGCCTGAACCCAGGAGGTAGAGGTTGCAGTGAGCCGAGATTGCGCCATTGCACTCCAGCCTGGGTAACAAGAGCGAAACTCCGTCTCAAAAAAAGGAATTAAATGGAGTAAGGATGAATAAGTAGCCCATTCAAAGTACTTCCACAATTTTAATAATAAAATATATCAGACACTATTGGACTATAGTAACATGTACAAGTCTTTTTGGAATGAGAAGCAGAGCTTTCAGTTATGCTCTTTACAATATAAAAAGATTAATTAAGAAATATGTCATTTACCCAATTGTCTCAGTTCTTTATGCAATTTCCAGAGGTTTAAATAGAAGAGAGGAGGATTCACGCAGTTGAGTCTTTGTAATTCTATCTCAGAGCCATTGTGTTCCTTAGGTAAATGAGGGTTAATCCCTCCCCTTGGGCCTAAGTAACAACAAGATCTAGGTCAGAAATAGACTATTTGAGCATTGATAATCTCAAATATATAAACAAGAGATCAGGGGAAACAACCAATCTATAATTTTTGTTCCTTATTATCTGATTTAATAGCACTCAAACTGTGGAAAGCAAAAAAAATATTTTTTACTAGTTTACCTCTTATTTTTACTGCCATTTAGAAAAATTGACATCAATATACATGTTCAAGTATTCTGCTAATGGATTCATTCTTGTACACAGTAAGGTTAGCATGAAACATTCTTCTTTCATAATATTTGTAGAATTTTAATCATTTATTTACATGTCTACATTTCTCCTCCATTAAAAAAAATGTAAGTCCTAGTTCCTGCCAAAATGCCTGACATACAGTAGATGTTATACACATGTTTGCTTAATTAAATGAACAGGTCTCTGTGCAGTTTCTTTTCTTTCTTTTTATTTTTTTGTGACGGAGTCTTACTCTGTCTCCCAGGCTGGAGTCCAGTGGCACGATCTCCGCTCACTGCACCCTCCATCTCCCAAATTCAAGTGATTCTCCTGCCTCAGCCTCCTGAGGAGCTGGAATTACAGGCGTGGGCTACCACGCCCACTAATTTTTGTGTTTTTAGTAGAGATGGGGTTACACCATGTTGGCCAGGCTGGTCTCGAACTCCTGACTTCAGGTGATTCACTCGCCTCAGCCTCCCAAAGTACTAGGATTATAGATGTGAGCCACCATGCATGGCCTGTGCAGATTTTCATTCCCTATTATCATGCTTAGTAATGTAAAGATATTAGCCGGAGTTGTGGTTTATTCCTGTAATCCCAGCATTTTGGGAGGCCAAGGCAGGCAGACCACCTGAGGTAAGGTGTTTGAGACTAGCCCAACATGGCAAAACCCTGTCTCTATCAAAAATACAAAAGTTAGCCCAGGTGTGGGGGCTTACACCTGTAATCCCAGTACTTTGGGAAGTCAAGGTGGAGGGTTAATTTGAGGTCAGGAGTTCAAGACCAGCATGGCAAACATGGTGAAACTCGATCTCTACTAAAAATAAAAGAAAATCAGGGCCGGGCGCGGTGGCTCACGTCTGTAATCCCAGCACTTTGGGAAGCTGAGGCGGGTGGATCACTAGGTCAAGAGATCGAGACCATCCTGGTCAACATGGTGAAGCCCTGTCTCTACTAAAAATACAAAAAATTAGCTGGGCATGGTGGCGCGTGCCTGTAATCCCAGCTATTCGGGAGGCTAAGGCAGGAGAATTGCCTGAACCCAGGAGGCGGAGGTTGCAGTGAGCCGAGATCTCGCCATTGCACTCCAGTCTGGGTAACAAGAGCGAAACTCCGTCTCAAAAAAAAAAAAAAGAAAGAAGAAAAAAAGAAAATCAGCCATGTGTAGTGGCTCCTACCTGTGATCCCAGCTACTGTGGAGGCTGAGGCATGAGAATCACTTGAACTTGGGGGGCAGAGGTTTCAGTGAACTGAGATCACACCACTGCAGTCCAGCCTGGGAGACAGAGGGAGACTCTAACTTAAAAAATCCCAGCACTTTGGGAGCCTGAGGCAGGTGGATCACGAGGTCAAGAGATCGAGACCATCCTGGTCAACATGGTGAAACCCCGTCTCTACTAAAAATACAAAAAATTAGCTGGGCATGGTGGCGCGTGCCTGTAATCCCAGCTACTCAGGAGGCTGAGGCAGGAGAATTGCCTGAACCCAGGAGGCGGAGATTGCGGTGAGCCGAGATTGCGCCATTGCACTCCAGCCTGAGTAACAAGAGTGAAACTCCGTCTCAAAAAAAATAAATAAATAAAAAAACTAAAGTGTCTTCCTGCTTTTTTTTTTTTCTATTCCTGTTTGTTTGTTGAGACGGAGTCTCACTTGAGTGCAGTGTTTTGATCAGCTCACTGCAGCCTCTGCCTCCTGGGTTCAAATGATTCTCCTGCCTTGCCTCTCAAGTAGCTGGGATTATAGGCACCCACCACTACACCCAGCTAACTCTGGTATTTTTACTGGAGATGAGGTTTCACCATGTTGGCCAGGCTGGTCTCAAACTCCTGGCCTCAAGTGACCAACTTGCTTCAGCCTCCCAAAGTGCTGGGATTAGAGGGGTAAGTCACCTCGCCTGGCCTATGCTTGTTGTTAAATCCACTGGACACATCTTAGTTTTTGTTGACCTGTGACAGGCTGTGTCACAGTTGACTATTATCTCCCTCAAGACATTCTCTTCCCTTAGCTTCAAAAACTCTACATTTTCTGGGTTTCCCTCCCACATTTTTGTTTCCAGTCAGTCTCTGCTGGTTCCTTCTCCTCCTTTCCCTAATCTTCAAATGTTGGAATTTCTCAAGCTTCAGTCCTAGAGCTTTTCCTTATTTTATTCTATGTGGTCTCATTCATTTTTAGTGGATGGCAAGTGCATTCATTCCCAAGGCTTCAAATCCTTTCTATATGCTGATGACTTCTTTTATTTATTTATTTTTACTTTTTTTTTTTTTTTTTAGAGACAGGGTCTAACTATATTGCCTAGACTGGTCTCAAACTTCTGGCCTCAAGTGATCCTCCCACCTCAGCCTCCTTAGTATCTGGGATTACAGGTGGGAGCCACTGTGTCTGGTGCTGATGACTTCTTTTTTTTTTTTTTTGAGATGGAATTTCACTTGTCACACAGGCTGGAGTGCAATAGCGTGATCTCAGCCCACTACAACCTTTGCCTCCTAGGTTCAAGTGATTTTTCTGCCTC